GTGCGATCAAGCGTTTTTGCGCCAGACTAGAAATACTTTGGTTGTTAACTGCATGAATAATTATTGCTCTACACCTACCTTTTGCCCTTATTACCGTAAATCATAGTAAATTTTGCATAATGAAAATGAACAATTCTCGTTTATCGATCGTTTCTAGAAGATGACCTAGCTGTTCAGTGAGCAATTTTCCTGCCAAAACTTTTAAGTGTCCGTACGTAAGAACCACGCATAACTGGAGCCTGAGTTTGAAATCCTTCAGTTGTACGTGGACGGGGGATATGCTCTTAAAATTTCGGCCTTCCAGCTTTTCTGGCTGCCGAGTTAGCAATTTCCTTGACAAAACTTTCACGTACATCAGAAAAACGCGCACCTAAGAGGACGCATAAGCCGTTGCGCCTAAAACACATTTCAAACTTTTGAACAGACGCACTGTTGATCAAATACTTTCACAGCTTAATAGTGTGAAGCATTTTGGAAACTGAACTGTGTAGGACACAGTAACTTCAGGAAAAGTCCGTTTGCTAGAGCAACCAATTCTCAGTGTTGTTGATGCATCCGACCGCTTTTCGTCTACTGTAAATTGTTGCACAGAAAGCATGATAGTGACTTTTCTGCCAGTTTTACGGTTTTCTGCCTTATTTCCTACTGAAGAGCCAAGTAGCTTGATTTCATAAATGTCTAGCACTTGTACGTATCTTTTAGATTGTTTTACTGGGCGACAATTTTGTTGGTCCCAACGGTGGTGCCATATTCGTGCAAGATATCGTTGTGGATGGTGAACTGGTATCCGACTGCACAGTGACGGCGACTTTCGACACTATGCATCTTAGCAAAACGATTTTAGACCGATCTTTTAGCCGAACGAGCACCTTTCAGGACCCCATCGAGAAGCTCGCAGATAACCATGATTTAGATCCAATGCAGAGCAATCCGAGTCGTCGACCATCATCCGCGCCAAATTTTTCAGAACTATCTTCACCCGATTCCGCATTTGCTGCATGCCTGAAGCTGTCATGTAATCCTGCTGGTATTAATACTATTTGTCGGAGTTGAAGGCCGGGCTTTTTGTTTTGAACTTTAGCTGAAATTTCAGTAAATATATAGATGAATTTCAAAAAATAAACCCCAACATTTCAACTGCCAATTTCCTAAAACTTCGATCGACCACCCGCTTTTTTCCATACCTCGCTGTTGCTGATTAGCTTCTAAGCTGCAAACAATTTGCATGGGAAATACAACAGAATGTTCAAACTGACACAATTAAAACTACAGAACATGAGTGCTCATGGCGCGACGATACAGTTCGCTGGATGGTTTCAAGCGGAGCTGCTGGTTCCTCGAATCCATTAACAGGAATTATGACGACGCCGGCTGGAATACAAACATTCCTGGTAGCATCCTATAACGATGACAACAGAAATGCAACATATCAGATGATCAGTCCGCTGATAAGCATTCCAGCTTCTGCGCAGCCCATCTTTTTTTGTTTTCACGAATATTTCGCACTACACGCTGCGCGATTTGCACTGTGCTTGGACGGATTTGGCAAGCAGTGCTTTTATTCGAGGAGCGACATCATTGCAGATGGTCCAATAACGGTTTGTTTTTTATGCTTTTTTGCATATTTATACAAATGGAAAACGCATATCGGCAAGAAAATGTCCGTCTGTGGGTATGTATGCCTGTGTGTATTTAAGTCTCCGTATTTTGTCGTTGGCATTCAACCATAGAAGCTAGGAAGCTGAGATTTCTGGAGTATGTATTCACCTCAAGTGCGACTCTCCCGTTTTAAAATTATCGCTTGTTTACGCCTAGGTCCCACGTATGGACCTCGAAAAAGGAACGCAAATTTTTTGGCGGAGAAACGATTTTGGGGACCAGATGGACTGTCTAGGTATAACTTAAGATTTTAAGTTAGCCCCTGGGCATGCGTAGTTTTTGTGTACGGGCACGTAAAATGCTTACAGGAAAGCTAAGCCATTTTCAGTGAAACAGTCGTTCAGAGGAAATTGTCCATTTTCCTTTATGCAAAATTTACGATGATTTACGCAGTAAGTATACAAGCTAAATGTAAAGCAGCAACCATTTTATACAGTTCACGACCTGATTGTTTCAAGTTTAATGCAAAAACACATGATCGCATCGACAAGCCTTGTGCGTCCCAATCTGAGCTTTTAACTGGCATCAATTAAAGCTCTTATGCTAACGAAAATGCTCATCGGACTTCGACAAGACCAGCAGACAATTAGTTCTTAGACAAATAAGCTGCTCAACTACGAAGATGCCAAATGGCAAAAACTCCCATGGCGCAAACCCATTAAAATCAGTGGGCCAAAGTCTTAACTACAGTCAAACTTTATTTGAAAAATGAAATGTAAAAATAAGTACGTAGCGTCGTAGTGAAGCAGAAAATTTCATCGTAATTACGAAGAGTTATCTACAGTTTGGTTACGGCTTGTCTGTACGGCTGCGCAATGCCAGCTTGAAACGAATCAGTCCACACTAACCATTTGCTGGGAACTAATACTCGAAATGCTGATCCTGAAGTTTGTGAATCCAACAAAAAATCCGGAACTGAATCTCCATTTTGGAG